AAACAGTAAAATCCAAGTCTCATTTCTTTACAAAATTTTGCTCCCATGGCAAGGCTTACGCCTACCTACAACAGCCCTGTCTGTGGACTATTGTAGCATAGCCTTCCCTTACCACTGACATATGAAAAAACAAACTGTATGAATTAAAAATTTTCTGATTAATGAACTCAGTTCGGATGGAGGGGTACGGTAAGTAAATGGGAGATGTTACTGTAATTGGTTACGACATCTTATCTTCGGTAATGATTTAACACCCTGTAGCGTGTATCACAAGGCTTTCTTGGTATTTTCATCAAATTAACTAATTCAACTATTAGAATCATTCCTTATTTGGTCAAAACAAAAGCCAAATTATCATGGTACCTAATAAGCTCATCCTACTCTAATCTACTTGCTTCTAAACCTCAATTCTCACATTTTTTATCTGGTGAAACACAAAAGGTTTCAGGGACAAAATTAGAGGTTTATTTAAAACTATCATTTGTATCATTATATCACAGGTATTTAAAAAAAATAGACAAAAATCTTATTTTCATCTCAAAATACTGTATGAAGCAGATGACCTGGTCAATTATTACTACAAAAATTGCTAAAAAGCTTCTAAATTTTAAGTGATTTGTTAAACAAAAATTAACTTCAACTAAATGAATATTTATTTAATTGTGAATGTACATATGTATTCTTAAATGATTTTCTAGTTGATTTTATGCAAGTTATACTAAGCAATACTATCTTGGTGTGTATAAAAATGGTGGAATATTGTACATGTAAGGCCAAAGCCAATTACACATCTCTTCAAACATAGAAATTATCATTGAAAAATGTTCAAGATGAATGTTAATTTGAAACATTATTTAATGTGAAAGGCCACTGTGAACTACATTTTCAAATCTTGGTTTAATGTTTTTTGTACTGTAGTTGTAGATTTGTACAAATGATAATACCCTTGGCAAAATAGCAAACTAATGAAAGATAATAATACATTTCAAAACATTTTACTCAAATAGGAACACAGAAGATGATTCCCAGCTGAGGTCATTCTCTTTTAATCACTTCCCAGATTTTACAAATTTAGGAAAATATTTTTATTATCCTCTGATGTTGATCAGGACCTTGCACCTGTTTCAGAAATGAGCGATATTGTTCAGATAATTTCTTTTTGCCAAATAAGTAAGTAGAAAAGAAATAAATGGTAATGACAGTAGAACAATATTTGAATTCCTTAAAACAGAAATTAAAAATTTTAAAGAAAAATCAATACGCTATTAAAATTGAATCCGTGAATGTATCATACATGTAGTAAAATAATTAGAACTAAATCAAGTAGAATAGAGTATTCATTCATGGCTTACAATTTATTCAATAACAACTAATCAATCTAATGCACTACTCATTTTTATGTCTTTACATAGTTATACCATTATTGCTATAAAAGTACAATAAAATTGATATTGAAATTGATTCTGGAGAATGTTCTATAGTATAATACACAATGCATCACCATGCACTACAAATTTAGACAATAAAGGAAACTGAGCTGTTTTGTATATCTTGGACAAATGTAATTGGCTCTTTTAAATTTGTTAATAATAATTTAACATTTATGTAGTGCATATTACAGTACATGCACTCAACATCAAATTAAAAAAAACAAAGGAGCATAGGAAATTAAGAAATGATGTCAACTTTAGAAGCTCAGCAGGATTTCATCCTCCAAAGTTGAGTCAGCATCGCTCTCTCTATTCTCCCTCGCAACGGCATGAAACTAGCCACAGAAATAGGATGGAAGTGATGAGTTGCTTTAGTTAAATGAAAGCATTTTTTGACATTGCAGGATTTGAACCCACTACCCTGAGCTGGAAGGCAAGGCATCTTAATGCTAAGTCACATTTCTGCTCCAAACAAACAAAACAGATCTGTTAATTTCTTCATTATCATCATCATTGCCACTGCTAGTAGTAGTATTATCAATTGTTTCACAAAATAGCTTAAACTGGACAGCCAATAATAAGAGCACAATCAATCTTATGAGAAAACAACACTGATCTATGATATATAGAGTTGTTATTGCAGTTAGATCTTTAAATTATCAGTATTGATTGATATGAGCTTCAAGGTCAGTATAGCTTTTTCAGACTTTAATCAAACTATGCAAATATATAGTACCTTAGGTTTAGGAAATACTGCTAATTTTGTCACTTTTTACCTGTGCATTGATTTTTCCCAAATAAAAGCAAAGGAATCATAAGATATGAATGATTATAAAAACAGAAGTTCAACAACCGGTACAATTTCATATATTATTTTATATTTTTATTGTAGAAATGTTCATTGTTTTAATTGACCATCAATTATTTAATTCTATTTGTTTATATTTATATGTTTCTCGTATGTGATGTCTTTTGAATGTTTTTTCAACTTTTGTTAAACTTCAATTTTGATTTGATTTTAAATTGCAATAAAGTTCTTCGTACTTTGTATAATTAAGTGTTTTTATTTTTAGATGCTAATTAACCTATGACCCTTTCTTATAGTTATTCAGGATCATAAGCCAATACTACTAGCAAGGTGGTGTTTTGGTCATGTGTTGGCTGTCTTATTAACAACTGAATTTGAGTCTGACCACTCCTGAATATGAATTACCTTTAAACAATAAAATGTACAAAATTTAAAAACAATAGTGTGTGCGGTTCAATATTTCTATTAATGTTTGCGTAAATATTTGCGTAAATATTTCTATAAATGTTTAACTCTCCATATCTTAAATAGAAATTATCAATGGTTACAAACAATTCAAGTTACTGAGAATTTTTTTAAATCTACACACTGCATTTAATATTACACATCCATACCAGATGTGCCGTTATCCACATCTTTCCCATAAAAACCATGCAAACCATATCCATGCCTACAGTATGTTCTTTCCACATCTATAGTGAAAACTGAAATTATCTGTTAACTATTTGTAAAAGATGGGTAGTATTTATTTTCATATCAATTCAATGACAATTTTGTGTTTTACTATAACCTGGATTTTGAAGATTTAATAGCTCATTTCAATTTCTTCTGTTATTGTTCAAATTTATGATCCATTACCTTTTACTTAAATGTAAAAGAAAATTAAATTCCCCCTACATTTAATGGTAGAATCCCTTAAATTGAATGAATAAAGCAATATATTATATTATTTATATTTTGCAATCTAGGAATATTAATGGCTCAATTCTAAAGTATTACAGAATGATAATTAGTAATATTATCATAAATTATTTGAACGAGTTTTTAAAGATTTTGTTTTATCATAGCAGAAGGCAAACGTTTGAGACTACAATCTAGTATGTCATTATGCATACTGTACTGTAGACATACAAGTACCGTCAATATCAGTAGACTAAATATAATGCAAACTTGATAAAAAAATTGCAATATGAATCTTTCTATTTCCATTTAAATCAGTATTACCAAGATACGATTACAATTTCATTTAACTTACTATCTCCGATACAAAAGAGGAAGGAGTGATCAAAACTTTTAAATACTGTAATGTAAGTCCTCCAATCAATGATAATGAAGGTCGTCATGAATATTATTACAGATTTTAGGTTATAAAAATGTAGGTCTAAAAAGCAGAAGTTTGTGCTTGAGCCAATTAAAAATAAAAAAAAAAAACAAATGTATTTCAGCAAGTATTTAAAAAAAAAACATTTTTATTATTTTTAAGCTTTCGCCAAAATGGCTAAAGTAGTTGTTTTTTGTTTCGCCAATTCAAAATTGTTTTCGCCCATGGCGACTTGGCGATCGGTTATCGTGAACCCAGCTAGCTAGGCTATCTTCAACTTGTCTCCAATCTTCACTTAATCACCTTATTTCTTTACTACAATTATGTAAGCGGCTGTTTATTTAGAAACTGTTAACACCTGTTTATTTACCTTACAAACTGTTAATACAACACTTTGCGTTGAATTCTTAATAAACAATTTCTAACGAGGTGAACAGTTTCAACGACAACGCGTTGTCAACGTCAACGCGCTCTCAACGAAAACGCAACAGGTTGAATGCGTTTAAAATTTGGGATAATTCTGGCCAGTACTCTAAGAAGCCTACACAGTAGGGCCTAGCTAGGCTAGGCCGCCCCTGAAAATTTCTGAGGGTGTGACGCTAAACAAGTATTTTTTTTTTTTTGGCCTAATTAGGCCTAATTTTTAGGAAACTAGAAAACTAATGTACATCTTACATGATTAGCAACACTTTACAAGTGGAATTTGTGTTTCAAATGACAACTTGGTCATTCATCCATTTTAATTTGTTACGGTCAAATATGTAATATTTCTAAAGTGGAACATTTTGAATAGAAATGTCTGAAGCTTTCTTTGAGAGTGAACAAGTGTCATGAGTTCACACCACCCACGAGGAACTGACCCAGAACCAGACAATGGTCAGGGACAGCGTGGCCTAATATGCCAAATACAAATCAAAATATTGTTTTCAAAAATTTCAAAAAATATTACTAAACAATAAACAAGAGCAATTACTTGATTGACAGTCCAGTACATGATAGCTTGACTACACTACATTCACAGTATACAGTAGTACAGTATGTTTTGTTTGGATAAATTGAATTTATTGTATGGGCCATATTATTTACAGCCACTATTTGAACACAAAGTTGATAGTACAGTATTTGTCTAATTTCCTAGCTTTCGTTTTCATTGCTATTTAGGAAGCCATTCTATTTACTTAAATTTATACTATTTAAATTAAATTATCACACAATCATTTTCATGAATTATAATTGTTTACTCTTCAGTTTCAGTTACTTTTCAAAAAGATCATCAGTACTTTAACTTTGACCAAATTGTAAAAGCATTGATCATATTTAAATGGAAATATTTTTAATAAGATTACAACTGATTCGTTGACTGTTAAAATGAACATGTTCTTTCAGAGAAATTTTAAAAAGTGTTTGGTCAATTGTACAGTACATGTACCAACATATCTGCATGTCTAGTTTGTTACAATAACCCTCTCAGTTGCTAATATCAAATTCAGTAAATGTCATTCTTCGACATAGTTTTTTTTTTTTTTTTTATATCTTAGTTTTACCCTGTGATCTCCCTAATAAAAAAGGTCTTGTTTTGTTTCGGCAAACATACTGGCTTCAACAAAGGAGTGATAAAAAAGAAATTGGCTTGTGTTTTAACAACTCTTGGTTGTGGTTTTTTATTTATTAACTATGCCAATCAATGCCGCATTTAGAGTTTTAGGACATGTGTAAATTAAATTGTTCCGTTCCTTTAGTTTAATTGCAATAGGCATAAAAAGAAGCATTATCCAACATGAATGTCTTGGACTATCAAACTTGCTTCATCATCATCAACATCTCCGATCATCTCCGATTACTGTGCAACCTCTATAACAAGTCTACTTGCATTTATTTATTTCAACGTTTTTGAAGTACCATCAAAGAACTTATAGCAGAAGAATGAGTTCTTCACGTATTCTGCATTAAAGTTGTTGGAACGCCCGCCCTACTTAAGAATTGAAGAAATGTGTGATCATTTGACGGAGTGGAGAAACAAAGGAAACAAACAAACTCGAGCAGGGCCTTGGATTAACCTGTTAATTATAAACATATAGCGCCACCTCTAGGATGGAGGAAAATTCTTCCATGGACATCCTCATCGACGTTTCACTACATTGCAAACTGCTCTATCTTCTATTTATTATCTTTGGTACCATGTAAGGGGATTTCTCTAAACCAGTAAGCGAGTACAGTTCATATGACTTATCACAAAATGAGTGGCTATACGGAAAGAAAATCTAGGCTCCTGAGGAAAATTTTCCTCATGTGCTGAAAAAACATGATTCAGAATACAAACAATGCACAAAATATAAACAAAAAATTCTTACCTTTCTGACAACTGTATTCATTCCAACAGAGTTCCTTGATCTCTCCATTAGCCAATGTTTTTGTACAAGTTCCAGGAGGCTCTGGACAACTGTTCAAACACAATCCTTGGTCCTTGTTGTATCCGAAATAGCTGTTTTCTTTATGCTCTTCACTTATCAGATTCCAGTCAATCATATCAATATAACAGAGCACAGGATTCTTCTCAATGCGTATAGCACCACGCTTGATACTCACTAAACTTTCCAGACCAACCTCCTCCAAGTCAAACATCTCAAAAATAATCAGAGAGTAATGGTACAGAAGATTTGCGCCACCGATTACTGCAAGGTTTGGAAAGAGTTTCCGCAGTGTTTTCAGTTTTGTCACACGGTACAGCAGCACATAGTCGGTAACTTCAATAAGGTTTGGAAGAGAGTATTGATCAACTTCGTCTTCTTTGTTATTGTCCATCAATACAATCTGAACTGAACCCTCTACAACTGTGCAATTGGTAAATTCTGCCAAATTTGAAATATGATTTCTCGCATCTATGGACAGGCAAGCTATTTGAGAAAAAAAAAAGATACGGAGAGTTAGTCATAATAATTTATAGAGTTGTAAATGCAGTACAGCAGTAGCGGCAGTTTGGCGCAGCGGTTGTGGTTCAGACTTTTAATTGTAAGGTTGGGGTTTCGAGTCTCCGTTGTGCAGATTCGCTTGTGTCCTTGGGCAAGGCACTTTAGCTACATTGCTTCAGTCCACCCAGCTTTATCAATGGGTACCAGCAAACTGCTGGGGACTAACCTGCGACGGACTAGTGTCCTGTCCAGAGGGAGTACAACTCTCATCCGCTTCACACTACAGAAACTGGGGATAAGCTCCAGCCCTATGAGCCCTTGTGGCTCGGAAAGGATTTAGTTTTTTTACATGCTACAGGGAGTGAAAAGCAAGCATCATTAGTATGCAAATAAACTTAAAATACTGGTAACTGAATTTATTAATTCTAATTTTATTTTGTTATAATGCTTAATATAATATTATCCTAGACTGTGGAAAAGTATTATTATAACAACCCTCCATTTAAAATGCCATATTAAAGGACAAGAAGGATAAATATACAAATAAATAAAGAAAAGACCACCTTTCCATAGCCCATATAAATACCTCTTTATATTTAAAGTACTTGAATATTAAAGGTTTCTTTTTTATTCTTGGTCTGCTTTTGTTTACCGATAGATATTCTTAATATCAATTTTTGCATAGTGTATTTTTATTGCTAGTTTTTTTTTTTGTTTTTTTTTTTACAAAAAAAGGGTTTAATTTAATTACAGCTTTACATGTACATTTTCATCAAACTTAGTAACATTTTGTTAAAACTCTGCAAAGTATTCTGATAATAAATCATGAAATAAATTGAATGCTAAGACCACATAGAAATGTGTCAAACAAATCATAAATATGTAAAATTCTATAAGTTTTCCATCTGGTAGGCACACCCATGGGTTTTTAATGGCAACTGAGAATACTGATTATCATTGATTGAATTGCTTGTCATCATCAATAAAATCCCCAGTCAACATCAATAAAATCCCCATCACTATTCACTTCCATTTAAAATCATCTCCTGACAACCAGGCCAGGCTACATCACAATTTTGATTACCAGTAACTTATTATGTTTTTTTTTAACAAACAGATCACTTTGTGGTGAAAGGTAACATTCAAGCACATTGATATAGATATTTCTAGAGTGGTGACCAATCATGAATATGAAAATTGTTTTGAGTGGAATTTTAATACAAAGGACTCATTTCACTGGACATTAAAAGAAAATTAAAAGGAGAGATGTCATCATATCTACAGTACGATTATATTTTCCTTGTGGTGAAGGGTAACATTCCTGCACTTTGATATAGATATTTCTAGGGTGGTGACCAATCATATGAAACTAGATTACATTTTAGTTATTTTTAATTTTGATAAAGAATAGTCAATGGGCCACAATGTCCACATGAGTGAACAACTGCATTTATAATTGGTGAAAAATATTTCTGAAAAATAAATTGACATATTTTTAAGCCTGGTTCACAATGGAGTGCTCTGATCTAGTTCAGGGGCTAATAATTTCAAAAAGCAATAAAATATATCAAATATTGGAAAAATACAGTAGGTGGTAAACGGGAGTATTCATGATTAAAATTGACAGGAGGAGGTTCGCAACTTGTTTTCGACTTACAATTTTGGTAAATACTGACTCCTTAATGCTCATTTTCTGGTTCAAATGACCACCTTTAAGCTAGTGTATCTGGATTGGGAATTTTGTGTTGGAAATGGAATTGTGACATTGGATTTATTTATTTGGATAATGACTGTTTGTACATGTTGTGTGTGAACATACACTAAAAACCTAAATGAGAACATGCTTCATAAAATTTTACAATTACAAACCTCACTATCATGTTACTATTCATTTCAAATAACTAATTAAATTTTATCAAAGAGTTTCATACAAATACAACATATATACATAATTAAATATCAACACCCAGCAGGAAAAGTACAGCATGGTACTGTAGCTAATGGTAGTCAGTCCTTTACTCAAGCCAATCAAATTCCAACACCTAATTTAACTCAAATTCACTTATCAAAACAACTGGAAACTACCACAGGTCACCTGACTGGTCACCATTCCAACACATGTTAACAACATTGCAATAGTGTTGCTATCGCTATAAACCACTACAAAATCTGTTCATTACAAATTTGGTCGCCAAATATATTCATATTTTTTAACATTTGTATTCCTTAAAAGTTCACTTGAGTGGAATTTTAATACAAAGGACTTACTTCACTGGATGAAAATTAAAATGTGGGATTTCATCATAAGTATGATTTTCTTTTGATAAAGAAATCTGATAACAAGTGTTTACAGGTAATTGATCTTCAAATAAATCTGTGATAACTCACGAGTTAATAAAATAATAAGTCACCTCACAGTATCCCAGCATTATTTTCATATTTCCATCAATGTACAGAGCACAAAATAGCACTAGTCTACGGCAGCAATATTTTTCCATCAACACTATGTGAGATTCCATGGCAATTAAATATAGATCCTTTTAAAATGAGCAAATTATCTATCTTTCGATATTTTAGTTTTTAACAGATTTTACCACAGACAGTAAAGAACATTTAAATATTGCTCAGTTAAATTATGGAACAACCTACAGTATTACCATATATTCTCAGCAATATTCATTCTCTGTATCCTTTAAAAATTTCATTTAGTGTACCATTTGTTTTTTCTTTTCTGTTTCTTGTATTTATGTAATTTATATATTTATATACATTTTTTTCTTAATTTTGATTTTGTAATTTAATGTAGTTTAAGATCATACGCTGGAACTCAGTGAAGAACAGTGTTAAAACGTAAGTAAACAGCCAGAAATAGAACCAGAGCTTTCGGACAACACTACAGTAGTCCTTCCTCAGTGGCGAGTGAGTGCCACTGAGGAATAAAAATTATATATATATATATATATATATAATTTTATCTTTCAATTTTGGTTTTGGATTTAATGAAGTTTAAGACCGTACCTTAGACCTCAGGGAAGAACAGTAATACTAAAACTGACTGAGTATCCAGAATAAAGAAAGTTTTTTATCTACTGTATCTATTTCATTAATAGGCACTTTTCGTTTTGACTACGTGGCCAGTCTACTACGAACTAATAGAGCGTAACAGACATCTGCGCATGCTCACAAACCTTACTGGCTAAATCGGCGTTGTGATAGCTTCCGCGACAACCCCAATTTCTGAATTTGGCGTAGTGGCGACTACCCTAATATTGACTAATCAGATAACCGGATTCTTTGGCAAACTGCTCGTAATTTTTTTTTGTTGGGATTGCAATTTTCATAGCATCCGCGATCGAGCATTGTTCGTTCAATAATGAATTAATTATTAAAACAAGTGAGTAATTAAATGTTTTATGAAGGCCTATTTATACACATACAATAAATGAGGAATGAATAGTCACAACATAAAATTAGGTAAATCAGGGGATAGTGAAAAAAAGGGGCTTAGGCCTAGGCTAGCCTTGTCAGGGTAGATTTCGGGTAGGAGAAAACACATTCTGGTGCCGCTAGCTAGTGCATCTGGGCCCATAATATCGTGGATCAAGCCTTGCTATATAAATACCTCTGTTTAAAATTGTTATGTACATTACTTGTACATTAACGTTGCATTTGGCAAATTGCCTGAGCAGGCCTGACACCCCTCTTCTCCCGGTTCCCAACTCTTTTGACACCTAAGGCTAGGCTAGGCCTGGCCTAGCGTAGGCCTAGATCCTAGCCAACAGCGAAACATCACTCAGTGTTTTCTGGAAACTTTTTATTTTGTACATTATTTGACTAAAGTTTTTTTTTTCACATTTCTTTTTTCAAATATAAAACAAGGGAACATTGTTCCCTGGTAATAAAACCATGGTCGACTAACTCCCCTCCGGAGGCCTACATACGTGTGCTGCGTCGTCGTAGTCGCCTTAAAAAATGAAAACAGCTCTTGGTCTAGTACGCAAATAGTGTCTTGGCATTGCCGTCACGGTCCATTAGTTCGTAGTAGACTGGCCAAGTAGTCAAAACGAAAAATGCCTAATAATTAAATTTCAGTTGTTTTTCTACAATTCTTGGTATTAAATCCAAACGTAAAAAAAATAGCACACGATAACTACCGATATACAAGAACTTAATTACAATAGGATAGTAAATTATCACAACTATATGAAGGCAGATGTTTTAACATAAATGTTTATAGTTGAAGTATAATTAGTTAATAATTATCTGTTTCTGTACCAGCAATATTTAAATACCTTTACACCTGTTAATACTGTGCATTAAAATATAATCACCCAGCACATATAAATTAATTACAAGAGATTATCAGAATTTGGTTTGTATAATGGTTAAGTTGTTTGTTAAATCAATATGTGGAAGGAACAATACTAGACAGGGAGGATAAGATGTGACACTGCTCAAAACCCACAAACCACAGGTGATAACCCAATATAAGCAAGGAGCTTAGCCAATTAAAATTTAGGGTAAATAGAAAAAAAAAAAATCCCCTCTATTCTTTTATTGGGCTGGCCTTATTTTCGATGGCAGACATGGAAGATTCTTGTAAACATTGAGTATTGTATACCTGTGTCTAGGCTTGTCATCTAATGCATACTATGTGTGTGTGTGTGACTATGTGGGTATACTGGTATGTGTGGTAAATGAAATAAAAAGAAACTAAATTCATCCTACTCTATAAACAGCAACCGGAAGGAAAAACATGTTCTTTTTTATTTATTTGACCATGCATTGCTATTTGCACTGTATTAGCACTGCTATATTTTTATATTGTAATTTCTTTCAACAATGTGTTCAGGTCAGGAATTTCATTCATCACAATACTACTATTATTGTGGTCATTCTCTCAAACTGATAAACATCTACCATTGTCAGGAAGTTGTCAATTGAAGATACAATAACTATTTTTAAAACAATTTTTAATGCTTAGC